GTAAAGAACTAGGGCTTTCAGTGTCTAAATGTTCTCCTGTTTTCATCAACATACCTTTAGTTTGATTCCCAATAGAAGTGAGAAGAGTGCTGAATTTTAATGCTACATCAGAAACGCTTTAAAATCTACAAAGTACCAAGATACTAGAGCTGCTCACACGTTTAGAGCATTTTCCTGAAAGAGGGAAAATCAGCTTCATCTGTTACTAGGGTCAACACACACAGGCTCTTTGTGATGCATCCCTTAGGTCTGGGATCACCATCAACTGCATCTCTCCTACCTAACAGAATGTCTGAGGTGTTGTATGTTGGCACCAAAAGGCCAGTCTCTGGTGAGGAGATGTCAAGTTAGGAGATGGAGTTTGCATTATGGAACTTCTGTATTTGCCACCTTCACTTGTGCAAGAGATAGTTATTTTAGACTTTTTTTGGAGAAGACCTACCCTGTCTTTACAGGGTTCTGGATTTTAGTGAGCCTGCCTGTGGCCTCCTCCATTTGGCTTCTTTCCAGGAAGCTATTTGTCTAACTGCTCCATCAGAACACTTGTCAGGGTTGTTGACATGCACATCACAGCTGCTTTTATTCCCGGATGTGGGTGAATTCTGCCTTCCCCGTCTCTTAACAGGGTTGTCACTCTTGCTCTGTGGATACTGACAGTACATCACTTTGCAGATACATCTCAGAGTAGTTGCTAGCTTTCTCCTGTCACATCTTGTTTATTCTAGGTGTCTCACCTAAGGTCAAGTTAAGCTGAGAGAATGTATCAACTCAAGTCAAGCTACAATTCCATGCTGGTGAATTTGAGGCAATGGTTTGTCCAGTAAAACCAGTACAGGGCATGGATACTGCACCTGCCTGTACCTGTTGCTGGCTGTCTTCAAAGGTGTGCACAAAAGTCATGTAATTACAAGGCACTTTGTCCAGTGTTGTTTATAGATATAAAACACTAAGTTGTTTATTGTGAAATTAATGCAAGTAAAAGACTTCCCACTTCTTGTGCTTTCTGTTCACAACATGTCCATCATTTCCCCTCCTTTGCTTTGTTTGATACTAATAGAGTCTCATGTTTTCTACTCTCATGTTTTCTACAAGCTAATTTTTCAAAAGTCTCACAGATGATGGATATTCTATGTTCATTTGTCCTTGGGAAGTAGTCTCTGCTTATCAAACCATAATTCTTCACTGACGCTGGTGCACATCAGCTGTCAGCATTGGGCATTAACTCATTTTACACAGAAATCGCCCTACCAGGTGTCTTTATGAGTCTGTGAATGTCAGGAGAGGACTGGATTTCAGAACTCTACTCAGTACCCACAGCACTAAATGCTCTCATCAAAGAGACTTAGGATAAGCCCTGTCCAACTCAATTTTGAAACCCCCAGGGATAATCAACAGACATGCATGCATTCTGTATATAGGAAGTGTTTGGTGGGGTCCAGTTGAATACTGTTTGTTGCCCCTTGCATGGAATAAATACAATGTGCACTTTGGTTCTTAAAATAAGGGCCTAAGAAGTGAGATGACTTAATTAAGGATGCAGAGTTGTAGGCTGTTCTAATCTACCATCTACCTGTGGTATCTTTTTAAAAAATATTGTACTATTTTTTTTTTCAGGAAAAAGACAGATTTGTAGACCAGATTATAAAACAGGATTCATCCTTTTCCTACCTCCAAGAAACACATCAAAGCATCAACAATAAGCACAACTTTAAGGTATAAAGATAGAAAAGGTGTTCTGAGCAAATGGAACACAGAGTCTTTAAAAAATATATGTATTGCTAACAGGCAATTTACAGTTGAGTTTATTCCTTTGCAGTTAATGAAGGGACAAACTGTTTCTTGTATGACAGAGATAAGTTGTAACATTAACAATTTCCATAAAGATTTTTATTAAATTCAAAGGTTTATTAAGCACATCTATAACTAGGAATTTGAACACTGGATATAACATAAAAAAGACACAATTTCAAGACCCTTAAGTATAAGAAATAGGATGGGCAGATTTATTTTCAGGTGGGTGCAGATTTGGAGAAGCATTTCCAGAAACAACACATTTCTGCCAGTAGCCCAAATTTATTTTCCAGGGCTGTATTTTGTTTGTCTCTGTTGAGGATGAGAAGAACAACTATGTTTTTCCCTCACAGGGACAAAGGAAATGATTGGTTGCTTCTGTGTGCGCTTTCACCCCACAATGGAGTCATTGGATGTAGAGTAAGAATGGAGGAATCTGTTTTTCACAAAAGTTTTAAGAACATGGAAAAAATTGAGTAGAGAAGTTGGGGCTCCTGGGGATTTACTAGGACTATACTCATGAAGACTAGTGTTTTCTTCATGTATGCTCTTCTCTCTACAGGGCACATAAAGAAAAATCCAGAGAGCACAGCATTTATGAGAGAAGCTAGAAGGGTAAACAAACAAGATCAAACACTGAGAAACTAAACAGACAGATGTTGTTAGTGTATTGGAGAAAAGCTTTAATAGGTGTAATTACAGTAGAAGTTTAGTGACTGCATCTATTGAAAGACTAGAGCCAGGCATGTTGGTACATTCCCACGATCCCAACACTCAGCAGACTGAGGCAGGAGGATCACAAGTTCTAGCCACCCTGAGATGCACAGCAACAGCTGGTTTCAAAAGCAATCCATCCATCCATCCATCCATCCATCCATCCATCCATCCATCTATCCATCCACACATACATACATACATACATACATACATACATACATATCTAAGTTTAGAGGTGTTGGTCCCACATAAAAGCAGCTGTCTCAATGAATGGATTTATGTTATATGTTAATTTAGAAAGAGAAAACCCATCACTAACGCAGCTCAAATGCTAAACTGTCTGGTGAAGCTACGTGGGCATCCTGCCTTACAAAAGAAAGCAGACTGTGTATAGAAGAGTAACTTAGAAATAAATACAAGTCATGAATTGAGTTTCATAAAGGTTGGCCATGTTCACTGTTTTCATCCCTTGAGAACAAGATGCCAAAGAGGAGGAGGAAGATGGGGATGGAGGGAAAGCTTTAGTTTAACTCAAAGTTCTCTCTCTCTCTCTCTTCTCCTCTTCTCTTCTGCCTTCTTATGCTTTCTTCTCTTGTACCCCCTCTTTTTAATAACAACAAACCTCCTAGTTCTTTTCTTTCTTTTAACTGGTTCGATATTTTCTGAGAGATTTTTGGCTCTCCAGGCCTTATCTCAAGGACCAAAAGTAGCATTGAAATGGCAAAATCTATTTTGATTCTGGAAGCAGAGTTGACGATGGTGTTTCTTGGGTCAACATCATCAACTCACCAATACTCAATCACCTCTGACTTTTCTCTCAGATTCCTAAGCTACTTCAACTGGAAGTCAACTAATTGGAATGGAGCAAATCTCCCCAGCTGGAGGTTGGGTACTGGTCATAGAGGAAGCTTCTCTTAGAGCAAGTCACAGTGAATGAGTGATTTTGGTGCATAGCTTTCGAATGGGTGACAGTGTCCTACCTTTAGATGTTTCCCAAGTTACCTGTAGAATGGTAAATTGATGAGGACAATCTCCAATTGCACATTTGTAAGCAGTTCCTGTGACGTCCCCCCCCCCCATCTTTGGTTGTCCCCTCCTTGCCCCTCCTCCCACCACACCTTGGTTTTCCTCTCCATGTCCCTCCTCCCCCCTCCCCCCACACCTAGTTTCATTTTCCTGAGATGCTCAGGGACTAAACCAAAGGCTTCGAGACCAGAAATGAAATATCTGTCCTGATATTCATGGTGCCCACCTGCTTATCACATGGTGCCACAACCTGTTAGCTCTGACTCATTCTGCTCTTATGGCTATGAATGAGCAGGAGAGCGATGAGTAGGTCGCTGGAACTGCACGAGAGACAAGAAGACTCAAGGTACACAGAGCCACATCCCTTTATGTTTTCCTTTTCCTAGACTTACCCCTGCTTCCCAACAAGTTCCATAAAGCATCTACTGTGTTCATGGCTGTAAGTGCAGGAGCTCTTACCACCCAGATCTCTGAGTCCTGGGAAGAACCTCAGATACTATTTGTATAAACCCTGAATTTTATGGACTAAGGGGGTTAAGGTGTTGGTCTCAGCTAGCATCAGGGAAAAGTACCACTGCTGGGCAGCTTGAAGCCTCCTATAGCTCTTTTTTTTTTTTTTTTTTACCATACTATACAACACTGTCATTCACAGTGTGGTCATAGCATAATAGAACATCTAACATCAAAATCCCAAAGGATTACTCAATTAAGTAAGCAAGCTATATTAATTCTCTCTTCCCTATTATAGCATTAAAAAGGGCTTAAAGCACTTAATAAATAAACAATAGCTTGAGCCACCTCTAGATCAAGTTTCCTTATCTACAGTTTAAGTACTGAAAGACAAAGTGACTTCAAGGCTGCCTAAGAGAGGACTTGATCATCTGAGAAGGGATTTTACACACACACACACACATACACACACACACACACACACACACACCATGTACAAACAGACCTCTTCATAAATGATGTCTGATAAGGAAAGAGATATTTGTGGCATAATAGCTCTGGAAAACATAATTATTTATCCTTTCATAGCTAATGAAAGAAATTGAAATTGAAGTTCTCATTTCGAATCCTTTTTATGTGGGTGAAACTTTAATTTTACATAATTAAATTGACTTCACAGTTCAGTGTGTTAAAATATGCAATTAAACGGCGTATCAAGGTTAAATGGCGACCGCGGTTGGCTCACTTAGAAATCACACTTCTGCACTGCCAAACAAGAAGGAACACCTGCCTAGCGCTGTCGTCCCTGTGCAGGGACCACACAGCCTGCAGGGCTGTGTCCTCTGGTCAGAGCAGGAGGAGAGGTTGGTGGTTTGTTGGTTTTGTCCCCCCAGCCCCCGCTAGTAGGCCAAATCTGGTACAAGGTTAACTGGATTTAACTGGTTTTATTTCCTTATGTTTTTCAGTGGAACCCTTTTTTTTTTTCCCTTTAAAAATTCCTCTGTCACCTATACTGAGCTCCAAAGCTGTTAGAACACATGGATCTTTCAAGCTGTGAATTTCTGTAAATCAGACACTGCTTGATCTCTGTCTAAAGGCAGAGACAGAGCAACGCAGCTGCTGTAGTTTGGTTAAAGGTAGGGAAAATGCCTTTGCTTTTTCATTTCATCCCATCCCACTATTTACACTCTGTTCCAGTTGAGGTATCTTTCAGTCTTTGTGCTGCCCCTGGAGAAGGAGAGCCTCAAGAAATACTGGAGAATGTGTTGAAGTGGGCCTGGAGCAAGGACACCGGAGATGTGTCTTGGGAGATGTCTGTGGCTGACTGAGGTGGGGACTTCTAGTTACTTGCCCCTTCCTTGTTTTCTCATGGAATAACGTGTTTGTGGTAATTAACTTATGATTCAGTAGCATCTTTTATTCCCTTTTATCTTAAGATCCTATGAGTGGAGTATGGTCGGCAATTAGAACCAAGTTCCTTTTTCCTGTTGATTCTGTGCTTGATGTAGCAGTGATTTTTTTTTCCTATTAGGGTAGCTACTAAGAAGGATTTATGAATCTAAGCAATATCCTTGCTATAATGATACACAGAGAACCGGGATCTATCTGGTGACTTTTCCACATACTGCAGGGGATGGGTTGCTGAGTGAATTACAGCAGCCCCAAAGAAGACAAGGTCCTTAGTGGTCTATCTCATGTCCTGGGTGTATCTTGTTCCCTGTTATGCATCTGTTGCCTATAAGATGCGTATTGGTATGGCTCGTGGACTATTACACTGAGAGACTATAGAAGATGCTACAATGTGTAGAGATATTGATAGAAAATGTATAAATTTTTTACTCTTTTGAGTCATGGCTTCACATATATATAGCACTGCCTGGCTCCTTGGAACCAAAAATCATCCTGGGGTATATACAGTTTTCTAAACCATCCTGGGGTATATACAGTTTTCTAAACCATCCTGCGGTATATACATTCTTCTAAAATTCTGAGCCAGGACTACGTTTGTCACCAATTCAATGTATTACCATGGAACCAAAACAAAGATTTATCCCCTCAACAGACATTTTGGTATTTTTATCAGTAACAACTAGTACTAGAAAATATTTTAATTAGTCAACAGTGATATTAATATATCCATGCAATTGTAAGGATGCCCATTCATGATTGTAAATTAGGTGCATGCATACCTAATTATAGATTCATTGACTGGTCTCAGATAATCTGAGTTCAGAAGTTTGAACTTTGAACAAATTATTAAATAATAACAAACAACAAAGGTTGTACAGGAACAGCAAATCTTGTATCGTGTCTCAGAAACATGTAGGTTTGGTTAAATTTTACACAAAGCTTAGAAATCTTGACCTGATTTATAGAACTCCATTGCATAGCAAAGCTTTGATTATCTTCCCAGAGTCTCTCATTAAGGACTTTGGATTGAGAAATTGAAATGTTTCGTCATACGGTTTGATCCTTTCTGCACTTCTGTGGATCTCTCTGATCTGTGGCCTATGAATGGCTGCCGACTTTAAACTATATTGTTTTCTGAATTCTCTTGTATTGTGGTCAAAGAAGATCTGAGAAGTCAAAAGTTTTCAGTGTAACTTTGAACATTAAAGGAACACAGAGCATTCTGGCCCATTACTAGAGGCTGGAGGAATTCGAGTATCTATCTGCAGAACAGAGTAGCCATAACTCACTCCTTCCAGAAAGGTAACTTGGCAGATCTGAGCTACACTTGCCACTACATATGAAGCGAAGAAGACAAACCCGGGTGTATCTGACAGACCACAGAGACAGACAAGAGCGCCACGCAACGAGTGCATGACTAGTATGTTTGTCCACGTGACAACGATGAGAGCACAGCATGATGGGAAGAAAAGGGGAGGAGTTTGACCATTAGGAGATGAGAAAGTCCTGAATGCTGGTAATGGGTACAGTTATGAAAGAGAATATAAAGTTATTTTTTTCTAGTTTTAATTTTATCATGGATTTTTTTTTTTTTGGTTTTTGGTGTTGGGTAAACACATAAAATATATTCAAAACTGAATGTGTTAAATCTGATGTGATGTATCACAACTTCTATTTAGAGTGCTAATTCATTTATTTTTTTATTTTTTTGAGACAGGGTTTCTCTGTAGCTTTGGTGCCTATCCTGGAACTAGCTCTTGTAGACCAGGCTGGCCTCGAACTCACAGAGATCTGCCTGCTTCTGCCTCCTGAGTACTGGGATTAAAGGCGTGTTCCACCACCGCCTGGCTAGAGTGCTAATTCTAACTGTATATGAATTCATTATGTTGTATAGGCTTTGGGTCTGGTTAATTTTGGTGTGTGATATTTTTCTTTATTTGCAAAGTTTTTTTTAAATAATTAAGTTTATAAAAGTGACTAATGAATGCGCAAAAAGGACTGAATATGTAGTATAAACAAAATTATAACTGCTATCTTCATATTGAATGTTTTTTAAATCTAGAAGGGGTAAGTCTGAGGGAAAGTTTTTTTTTTTTAAGATTTCTTTATTTAATGTGCATTGGTGTTTTGCCTGTGTATACTCTGTGCGAAGGTATACAGAAGATTCGCTGGAACTGGAGCTACAAACAGTTGTGAGTTGCCATGCGGGTGCTGGGAATTGAACCTGGATCCTCTGGGAGAGCAGCCAGTGCTCTTAACTGCTGAGCTATCTCTCCAACCCTAGTAGTTTTGTTTTGGGGAAGTTTTAAAAGCATTTTTGTGCTTAGAGCGTGCTTGGTAGGATTGAGTAAATCAAGCATGCTGTGTCTATCAGCCAGGGGGTGAGCGTTCCTGGGTGTCTGCTGCATTCTTAGGCAAAATGACTCCATTTGCTTTTTCATGTTCCTACTTTACAAGCATGGGCGGTGATGGCTGCCTGTGAAGCTTGCTGTGTGGCCATTACCTGAGATGTTCATGTACCGGATAATATATGCTTACATTAGAGAACTTGTCAAAAATAGTGAAGGATGCTTCAAATTAACACCTACTTGAAGTAATATCTAAATTTTATAATTCAAGGATGGATTTTGCTTCTTGTTAGGGACAAAAAGCTAGAAGGAGCCATGCACCTGAAGGTGATAATAAAACTGCAAAACTTGGAGATTAAAGATAACATGGCTCAGTCTAGGGGCTGAGGAGACTGTGTCGGGAAAGGAAGATCAGGGGTGTGAGGTCAGTCTAGGCTACAGAGCAAGACCTTATCTCAAAAATCAACCAACCACCAACAAAAGGAACTCCCAACCTCAAAGAGATTAATCACACCAAACAAATCTAAGACTATAACAAATTCTTGTCATTAAAGTTCTACCCAAAAGAATAGGTCTAGCAGTGTGGAAGAAAAATTATGAGATTCGCCCTGAATAACGACACACTAACTCTTAGTAGCCTACTCTAATATATGTCGGTACATTAGGACACCAATCAATGTCCTGTTCTTTCTCTCAATTTCCTTGTATTGCAGTAGACAAGTTCCTTTTGAGAAGAAATCTGAGCAGTTGGTTACCCAGATAATACACTGAAAAGTCCAGCCAACTGGGGTGCTACCATAATCTCCGTAACTACTTGGTGTGGGAATCTCTCTCTCTCTCTCTCTCTCTCTCTCTCTCTCTCTCTCTCTCTCTCTCTCCCTCTCTCTCTCCCCTCTCTTTCTCTCTCTCCCCCTCTCTGATTTGAATTCAAATCCAGTGATTGCGATGGTTGTGAGAGATTTCTTAGGGTTTCATTTTAGTCTGGGAAAACAGCCATATCCATAGAGAGGAAGCACATTCCATCCAATCATATAGATACCCAATGCTGCCTCTTAGTCATTTACTCTTGACAGCTAAGGTGTTAGATAAAGAGGGAGGAAGAAACTGGAAAAGTACTTAAACAGTCACCATGGACTTAGAGAGTGCCTCAGAGGGATAAGGAGGTGCAATGTTATACTTCAGTCTTGCAGACACCTTTGTCTGTGAAGTCTAGAATCCTGAGCATTAAAGGTTGCGGGGAAAGGGACTTGGTGGGCAGGAGTGAGAGGGCTGCTGTTTGGGGTTATTTTTTGTGCTCGAGGTATCCACTCAGAGTCCCGTAAGTCATCTTACCTTTGTTTTCTGCCTTCAGTTCCTCTGCCATCAAGCTGTCTTGTCGGTTTCCGAGCACGAATGCGAGAAATGAGAGGATCAGGGCATCCAATATTCCAATGATAGCCAGGATGTACGCCCAGCGGACGGAGCAGGCCCCAAGAGTGTACTTGTCTGTCTTTTCCCCGCACATCCGTTTTACTTCATCTGAATCCCAGCCATCCGGGAAAATCATACAGCCGAGCACAAGACAGGCAGCTGAGAGAGAAAGACGAAAGGAGAAATTGAGCATTTTATTTTACAAGGTATTTCTATTGTTTGTCAAACATTCCAAATGATTGATTTTGTGAGTAGCAAGTCTCGGTACCGTTTCCTGCCCCTCCCCTTCTGCTTAACAGAAAAGCAGGCCCTGAACTCTGCAGCAGAGGAATTCAGGGACTGTACCTAGAGGGAGCCCACACTGAGATAGGTTGAGGAAGATTTAGCTACGAGAAAATATTAAGAATTTGAATTTTTGTGCATGTTTGCAAAAAGGCTTCCATTGCAAATAGCCCAGAAGGAATCACCACACTGCATAATGTCAGTTCAGTGCTGTCTTTAAGAGCAAGGACAGCAGTCACACAAGGGTTACAATCACATGGGAAATACCGGCGTGTTTATTGACTTTGAATCTCTGGGGAAAATAACATTGCGATCCCTGCCCCAGTGTCCAGACATTCCTTGAAATTCTTATCATGTGTAGCACTCATTGATACTTTCTATTCTAATATTCATTCTGTTTAGTTTTTGAAATATATGTATATATACATATACATATGTATTGCAATAAGTATATCATATTCCACTTTTCTTTAATCCCTCCAAACTCTCTTGTTCTCACTTAAATTCCTCATTTCTTTTTGTTTATATATATATTTATATACACACTTATATATATTTATATCTGTGTTCTATTTAAAGCTCTCTCTCTATATATATTTCCATCATACATTCTTAAACACATAAATACAACCCACTTAGTATGCATAATGCTACACACATACACACACACATGCACACATGTGCACGCACACACAATTTCAGGGTTGACCATTTGGTATTGGATAACGAATTGCTGAGTTCTTCCCTGGGGAAGACTCTTTCTCATATTATCAGTGTTCTTTAGCGGCCTGAAGCTCTCTTTGTAGGGCTGAGGTCTCCTGGGCTGTCTCTATCCATGTTAGCATATCTATTGGTGTTGTCCTTGTTCAGGTTATGTTAGGGTGACTGTGTTTAAAAAAAAAAAAGGTTGTAAACCACAGTAGTACAGTATGACAATGAAGTTTTAGTGGAAACTAAGAGTTAGGAAACTGTAGTGGCATTCATTTGTATTTTAATAAATAAAGCTTGCCTGAAGATTAGAAAAGTAAAACAGCCTAGTCTTATAGATCAGGCAGCAATGACACACACCTTTAATCCCAGAAGCCACACTAGTGGCAGTCAATACCACCACCATTAGTCAATGGCACAAATTTAGTTAAAGAGAGATTCAAATTAGGTGGTAATCAGAGGCAATTTTGTTGTGACTATACAACAGATTACAAGTACTTGGGGTGGATTTAAATACAGTGAGCTGGTGATTTGAAGATGTTTTCACATGTTGGCTCTCTCAGCACAGCACACAGCAAGCTCTTCATAATTTACAACAGATTATTTGTAATCCAAAAATGCAGTTTTCACAAACAGAATTAATTTATTTTGGACAATGCAGAAGATCTTTGAGTCTGAACTATATTTGAAAATTTTTTAAATTACTTTGAATATTTAAAAATATTTAATATATATATATATATTTATCAGTTGAAGGACACTGAAGTTTTTTTTTTCTCCATTTTCTAGATATTGTGATTAGAACAGTATTGAACATGACTGAGCAGGGAACTCTGTAGGAGGCTATTGAGTCCTTAGGGTACATGCCAAGAAAATGTGGTATACATACACAATGGAATCTATTCAGCTTTAAAGAAAAATGAAAACATGAAATTTGAAGATAAATGGATAGAAATGGAAAATATTATATTGAGTAAAGTAACCCAGACCAAGAAAGGCAAATGCCTCACGGTCTTCTCTTGTTTGTAAATTCTAGCACCCAATCGAATCTTTAGATTTGATCCAATAACTTGCAGTAACTGAAGAAACAAGGAACATAGATAGAGACTGTCGTGTGTGTGTGTGTGTGTGTGTGTGTGTGTGCAAAAATTGTAGAGTTGGGGATATTAGGACACTAAGAGGATAACAGGGCAGGGAAACTTTAACAAAGAGAGGAGAGAAGCAGAGATAAATAAAAATAAGCATGCTTGCTAAAGCCATAGAGAAACATTCTTTTATGAGCTTACTTAAAGGACACAAAAGTATATATGTGTGTGTACATATAAATACATAAACACACACACACCATACATGCACATACACACATAACAGAGTTTAAATAGAATTATACCACACAAAATGATGATACTCCTTCTGCAACAGCTATTAATTATTTAGCAAGAATCCTAGTGCCAGGCATAGGAAACTTCTCTTTGAATTGTTGGTCATGGGGACCTGAGAGACTCCCTGCAAAGAGAGGTTGTTATAATTGCTTCAATTGTCTCCCAGACCTTGAAGATAGGATTCCACTGCTGAAGACACCACACACATAGAGCACAGGGTTTGGAATTAACTGATCCAGAACTGACCTGGAGGTCGAACTCTCATAGAGTCAGAAGGTGCTATGTAAGCCGTCAAGGTCAGAATACAATCAATAGTCCTGCCTAGCTGTCAAATCTGTAACAACCACAACATACGACTTGACGGAATATCCCTGATGGGGCAACAGTGGTACTTTTATCTTGGGGCCAACCAATAGCTGTGTAATTGGCTTGAAGGACAGCTCAATGGGAGTGGATTTATGCCTGGTACAGTAAACCTAGCCAACCACAGCTGCTGGAGAGGTCATATGCCTGAGAGGATACTGCATTATTGCCATTTTACAAAACCAAAATGATTTCTAACTATATCCTGAATGTTCATACTCACACCCATAGATGAGTTCTGACTGTACCCTAAGTGTTCATACTCACACACATAGATGATTTCTATGTCCTAAATATTCATATTCACACCCATAGATGAATTCTATGTACTAAGTGTTCATGCTTACACCCATAGATGAATGTTGCTCTTAGTCTTCATCAAAGAATATTCCCTGTACACCAGATAGAGACTACCATGGGGTCCACAGATCGAATGACTATGTTACTGTGGTTTTCCCATCTCCTGATAGTACAGCTACAACACAGCCTCTACATCCATGGCTTAGGGAGCATTGTGGAAGATGGGGCAGCTTGATTATTAGGGCCAGAAGATCAGGATTCCTGAGGTACTGTGTTCTAGACATGACGGAGAAGTTGTACCTTGAAATCTCAACAACAAAGTTGCCTAAACAAGATGTGTACAATGACAATACCAGTTGTGCTGACTAGTTTTGTGTCAACTAACACAGGCAGGAGTCATTTTGGAAGAGAGAACCTCAACTGTGAGAAATGGCTCTACAAGATTGATTGATGTGGGCCCAGCTCACTGGGGACTGTGCTACCCTTGGGAAAGTGGTCCTGGATGGTGTAAGAAGATGCTTTAGAGTTTCTATTGCTACAACAAAACACCATGACTAAAATGCAAGTTGGGGAAGAAAGGATTTATTTGGCTTACACTTCAGCATTGCTGTTCATCACTGAAGGAAGTGAGGACAGGAACTCAAATAGAGCAGGATCTTGGAGGCAGAAGCTGATGCAGATGCTGTGTGGTGTGTGTGTGGGGGTGTTGCTTACTGACTTACCTCACATGGCTTGCTCAGCCTGATTTCTTATAGAACCCAGGACCACCAGACCAGGAATGGTACCACCCACCATGGGCAAAGCCCTTCCCCATTGATGACTAATTGAGAAAATGCCTTACAGCTGGATCTCATGAAGACGTTTCTTCAGCGGATGCTCCTTCTTCTCTGATTACTCCAGCTTGTGTCAAGTTGACACATACAACCAGCCATTATAAAAGGCAAACTGAGCAAGATCTGAGGAGCAAGCCAGAAAGATACACCCTTCCATGGCCTCTGTGTCAGTTCCTGCCTCTAGATTCCTGCTTTGAGTTCTTGCTCTGACTTTCTGATGGCGGAAGGTCATTGAGCAATAAAGAAACTGCTTGGCTGGCCTCATAGGTTAAAGCATTGGTGGGAGGAGTAAACAGAATAGAATTCTGGGCAGAAGAGGAAGTGAGGTCAGACTCTGCTCTGCTCCCGGACAGACCCGACAGCTCTGCTCTCTGGAGCAGGGACGCCATGCTCAGCTCTCCCAGGCAACTCCAACCCAGGATGGACATAGGCTAGAATCTTCCCGGTAAGCGCACCTTGGGGTGCTTACACACATCATTAGAAATGGGCTGGTCCAGGTGCGAGAATTAGCCTGTAAGGGCTAGAGTTCATGGGCCAAGCAGTTCTTAAATGAATACAGTTTGTGTGTTGTTATTTTGGGCATAAGCTAGCCAAGCGGCCGGGGTGTTGGGGACGCAGCCCCGCTGCTCCTATTTCAACAACTTTCCTTAGTGATGAAGTATGACTTGAGAGTTGTAAGGTAAAATAAGTAATTTCCTCTCCAAGTTGCTTTTGTTCATAGTGTTTTATCACAGTAATAGAAACCCTAATTAAGATACATACATAGAAGCAACCCCAAAATAAATCTGGGAATATATATACACACACACATATATATAGTCGTATGTATGAATATATGCATGTTAATGTAATTATGAAGAATTTGAGAGTGAGTGGGAGCATGGGAGGAGTTGGAGGAGAGGGAGGGATAGAAATGATGTAAATAAAGTACTTGTATGAACATAAAAAAAAATAAAACAGACCATGTAGAGACACCTACACAGTCACAAGCCACCGAAGGTTTCCTAACACCTGACTGCCCTGATACAGCTCAGAATAATGAATACATCAGGAACACAGATGAAAAAAAACCCCACTCATTTAAAGTCTTGCGTGCTTCATTTCTCCACTCAAAATGCAGGAGAACAACCAGGGCTCTCAGGGATTTTGTGTTTTGTTTCTTAGATCAGTTAAATCCATGTCCTTTGCTAATATAATCAATCTCTTAATGTGTCAGAGCAGCTACTCTCACCCAGAGAGACACTCTGGACTCAGCTAAGCCTAGGATAGGTTTCCAGGCTCCCCACCCTGGTTGCCCACCCTGAGTGCCTCCACAGGGAAGGCCAATGTGCCCAACTC